AACTCAAAAATAACTGATATTAAAATTTATATAAATTATACACCTTCCATCACAATGAGCAATAAGTAAAGTTTGTTTGATGATTCTAACTGTAAAGCACAAGAGAATAATGCAAATTAGGAGCATTAATATTAATTTACAAAGTTAACATCCTGTTGAATCTTACAACAGCTTTTGATGTTGATTCATTTTAAGACATTTTTTAGATTGTAGATTATTTCAGTGCATTGCCAATAAATTGCCATGTGGTCTTTTAACAAATTTTACAAGAATAAACCGTAAAATTGTTGTACCTAATGAAGATACTGTGAGATTAAATGTCATGTTGACTACATACTATCCTTCTCTGCTGTAGCTTGTTTAGCTTTTTTTGAAGACCTTGATAGTTTAATCTCTGTAGTAAACATTAAGAACCCTTTGTGAAGACAGTGATGTACACCAGGCAACCTCTTCTTCTTGTTACCATTCCAAAGCTTGGAAAGCTGATGTGTACATGTCAATCTCTTCGGACATTAAAATTCAGTTCTCTTAGTTAAGACTATTAAACTCTGGCGGTGTAGATTTGGACACAATCTGCATTAAAGATTCCTGATCAAAAGGGTAAGTAATTATGCAGGAGCGTGTGCCAACATTAGCCAGGTCTGTTATCAGAAGCATATCAGTACTTGACATATTTGAAGTTTAATTTAACTTCCTCATAAACTTCCTCAATAATTGTGTAACCTCCAACTGGTTAACATTCTAGATTTGCTGTTCCAATTGTATCCTTTTATTTGATTCTGTCATAGATACATACATACATGGAATATGTATATAGAATACTGGTATATAGAATTCAGAAAATAAATGTAATTTTGACCTGACGTTGCTCACTGGATATATGTGCTGCATTCCACAGTCCCGACAAAAGAGCTAGTCTTCCTTGAACTAGGTCATCTGATGCCGGGCTGGAGCATCGCCAGAGCAATGGTGGCCCATCAAAAAGTGACATCAAGGCACAAAAAGTCACTTGGGATGAATATAATTTAAATTAAAGTCAAATGTTACCAGTAATCATCTATGAAATTAAGACCACAGCAATTAATTAGGATAAAAGAACTAAGTCAATTTGATGATTCATTATATATAATTACTTTGAAATAAGGGGATAACATTTAAATTATATCACAAGAGATAACACTAAAGCATGTCACATTTTCAATAAATTAAAATGAGGCAAAAAAAACTTCAAATAGGAATTAAGTAGAGCATTTAATCAACCTTCCCACCCATAAAAGAAAGTAATATTGGTTCAAAAAAGTGACCAATTAAAGAGTAGCTCATTGAGTCTTTTATTTAATTAGCCTTAATTTTATTGCTTTCAAGTCAATTATTAATCTAATAATCAAGAGCTTGATGTGAAGAGAACATCTTGTTCAATGTAGGCTAACTCCAGGCCACTTCCCTTCCCAGACAGTTACATGTATAGAAGTGTTGTCAGGAGAGGAGTATAAATTCCAGGTTTTGGAAACTGTGTAACAGCTGGCAGTCCACCTTAAAACTGAGAGTTTATGAGAGTCATAGAGTTCTACAGCACGGAGACAGGCCCTTTGGCCCAAACTGGTCCATGTGAACAAAATGTCCATCCACGCTAACCCCATTTCCCTGCACTTGGCCCATATCCTTCTAAACCCTTCCTATCCACGTATTCGTCCAAATCCCTTTTAAATGTTGTTAATGCACCCACCTCAACCACTTCCACTGGCAGCTTGTTCCAAATGTGTACCACCCTCTGTGTAAAAAAGTTGCCCCACAGGTTCCCATGTATTCGTTCCCCTCTTACCTTAAAGTGATGCTCTCTTGCCCTCGATTCCGCAACTCTGGCAAAAAGACTGAGTGCATTCACCCTATCCATGCCTCTCATGATCTTATACATTTCCATAAGATTCCCCCTCAGTCTCCTATGCTCTAAAGAAATATGTCCTAGCTTGTCCAACCTCTCCCTATCACTCAGTCCTGGCAACATCCTTGTAAATTTCTTCTGCACTCTTTCCAGTTTAATAACATCCTTCATACAGCAAGGTGAGAAAACTGAACACAATACTCCAAGTGCGGCCTCACCACCATCATGTACGACTGCATCATAACTTCCTAACTTCTACACTCAAAATCCTGACTGATGAAGGCCAATGTGCCAAAAGCCTTCTTCACTGCCTTGTCTACCTGTGACTCCACTTTCAGAGAACTGTGCAACTGAACTCCAAGGTCCCTCTGTACCACTACACTTTTTAAGGCCGTACCATGTTCGATGAAACTCCTATCTGGATTTGACTTTCCAAAATGCAACAGCTCACACGTATCTATATTAAACTCCATTTGCCATTTCTCAGCCCACTTCCCCAGCTGATCAAGATCCTGCTGCAATTTCTGCTAACCTTCCTCACTGTCCACGATACCGCCTATTTTAGTGTCATCCATAAACTTACTAATCATGCCTTTTACATTCTCATCCAAATCATCAACATAGATAACAAACAACAATGGGCCCAGCACCGACTCCTGAGGCACACCACTAGTCACAGGCCTCCAGTCAGATAAGCATCCTTTCACTATTACTCTCTGCTTCCTACCATCAAGCCAATTGTGTATCCAATTCGCCAGCTGTCCCTGGATTCCATGTGATCTAACCTTCCAGAGCTGCCTACCATGTGGAACCTTATCAAAGGCTTCACTGAAATCCATATAGACTATTTCTACCACCCCGCCCTTATCAACCTTCCTGGTCACTTCATCAAAGATCACCTAAATTCATCTAACAAATTTGTGAGGCATGATCTCCCACGCACAAAGCCATGCTGACTACTCCTAATCAAACCCTGTCTTTCCAAATGCATGTATATCTTATCCCTCAGAATCTTCTCAAGTAACTTACCTACCACAGATGTTAGGCTTACTGGTCTATAATTCCCAGGTTTTTCTTTGCAGCCCTTCTTGAATAAGGGCACAACATTCGCTACCCTCCAGTCTTCCGGGACCTTACTCGTGGCTAACGATGATGCAAATATATCAGCCAGGGCCCCTGCTTCTCCTTTGCTGTCGCCCTCTGCTGAATGTCTTATTATGTGTTATTCGATAACTCATTTCTAGTAATGGTTACCCTGCAGCTCAAGAATGTACAGGCACTTAGGTAGTGGATGAATGTCAGACAGTCAAGGTAGACAAGGCATGAACCCCCAGAGTGCATGACTCTACAATTAGTATTTAGCTTAAAATACCGATAAGGGTATATGTGACTTTACTGTACAGGAGACATGAGGAACATGGAGAATGCAACAGGCAAACAGAATGACATTTCTGTGGTCAGAGACTGAATCCAGGGTTGTATATTGCCTCCCTGTTACCAGGGTCAAGGATCTCACTGAGCAGCTACAAAGCATTTTGAGGGAGAAGCATAAACGATTATAGTCCATACCCGTACCAATAATAAAGGAGGATGAGGTCCTGCAGGTCAGTTTCCTTTTCAACTTCCTGAAATTATGAAGCAAGACTGGAAAAGAGTTCTAGAATTAAGAGATAACAGTGTGGAGCTGGAGGAACACAGCAGGCCAGACAGCATCAGAGGAGCAGGAAAGTTGACGTTTTGGGTCGGGTCCTGTTCCTCTGATGCTGCCTGGCCTGCTGTGTTCCTCCAGCTCCACACTGTTATCTCTGACTCCAGCATCGGCAGTTCTTACCACTTCTGAGTAAGCTCTAGAATTAAGTTAGATTATTCAGTCTGTGGACAACACAAGGATTGGGGGAGCTGTGAATAGTTAGGATTGCCAGATGATACAGCAGGATGTATTCAGGTTGGTGATTGCAGATGGAGTTTAATCCAAACAAATGCAGGTGATGCACGTTGGAAGATCTAATGCAAAAAGTCTACAGTAAATAGCAGAATGCTTTGTAGCATCAACATGTAGAGGGATCTAGGCATATAGGTCCACAGTTCCCTGAAAGTGGCAACACAAGTGGATAAGGTGGTCAAGAAAGCATATGGCATGCTTGCGTCCATCGGTCAAGGCAGAGTATAAAAATTGGTAAGTCAAATTGCATCTGTATAGAGGTTTTGTGAGGCCATGTTTGGAATATTGTGGGCAGTTCTGGTTGCCACACAACCAGAAGGATGTGGAGGCTTTGGAGAGAGTACAGAAAAAGGTTTACCAGAATGTTGCACGGCTTGGACAGTATTAGCTATGAGGAGAGATTGGACAAACATGATTGGTTTTTACTTAAAGAAGGCAGCTCACCACCACCTCCTCAAGGACAATAAATGCTGGCCAGCCAGCGACACCCACATCCCACAAATGAATAAGAAAAGCTTAAAACTGAAAAGGGTGACCTGATAGAAGTTTACAAAGTTATGACAGGCATGGATAGAACAGATAGTCAGAGTCTTTTTACCAGGGTAGAAATGTCAATTACTAGAGTACATAGGTTTAAGGTAAAAGGTAGAAAGTTTAAAGATGTAAAAGGCACGTTTTTTACACAGAGGGTGGTAAGTGTCTGAATATTCTGCCAGAGGAGGTGGTTGAGGCAGATACAATAGCAATGTTTAAGAGGCATTTTGATGAATAGGCAGGGAATAGAGGGATAAGCGTAGAAGCAAAAGGTTGTTAGTTTAGAAAGGTTTGATGTGCTCTCACAGTCTTGTTAAGGCCTGTTTCTATGCCGTTCGGTTCTTTGTTCTTTTCCAGAGCGACAGAGATGACTGGTGGGGAGTTTAACCCGAGGGTCACCACATCTCAGGCCAAAGATGACGTTGAGAAGAAGGAGGACATGGCAGGATCCTGCACGGCTCTACTCGGACTTGGTCTGATACGGGATTAGATTAAAAACCAGCAGAAATAACCAGTGCACACATCTGCAGGATTCTCCTTATTCAAAAGCTAATCATCTGCAGGCTTAGAAACTTACAGCTACATGTCTTTCCTGTTAGCTTTTTCTTTTGTTTTGTTTTGTTTTGCTTGGCTTGCACTTACCTCGCTGCGTTGCGTCTTTAAAGGGCCAAGTATTGATGACCAGGGGGATCTGGGCGTCCGCTTGGAAGCAGGAGGCGCTCAGCGCGAGGATCAGTGGAACGTAGCCCGGGGATCCCATAGCAACGCGAAGCGGGCCCCCATTCACAGAAACTCCGGGTCTCATTCACAGAAAGTCCCGCTACTACTCAGCCCGTCAAGACCAGGACTTCCTCTTACACACCCAGCTACGGTGGCTGCAAAAGGACGGCGAAGTTCTTCTTTGGTTGTACAAATAATGAGCTGCTGGGTCACTATTTAAACTGCAAGCTTTGCACTGCCTAATCTGTCATTGTCTCACATCACAACAACACTGATGTGATAAATTTATTATTCTTTTCTGACAGTTACAGTCAGCCCATCTCCTTTAGAAACATTTTTTTTGAATACCCCTTCCAGACGCTGGAGGATACCAGTGTCTGGGATGTTTAAAGTTTAAGAAGTGGGTTCGAAAGGTTCTGCTGATTTTAAAGTTCCTCAAGATGGGTGAACCCAGCATCATTTGGGTATTGGGAGGCAGAGAAATAAAAGTTGAGTTTCTTTAAACAACCCTTTAAGTGCTGGTGGTTCCAGATGTTCTGTCAACGCTCCTGCTGCACTTCATTACTATCCCAACCAAAGTGCTCCACTGCAGTAAATTTATAAATGGACACCGCACCGCATATTAGGCCAGGTGATGAAAGGTTTAGTCAAAAAGAATGCTTTTAAATATTGTATTAGCATTTTTTTTCAATTCAAATACAGGCAAATAGGACTGGTTTATTTAGGAAAACTTGAACGAGTTGGACTAAAGGGTCTGTTTCCCTGCTATATGACTCGATGACTGAGTTCAGACTAGACGCATTGAACGATAGATGCAAGTGTGCCATTGTAGGCCAAGCTGTAAGACAGGACTAGTCTGGTAGATTAGGAGCTGTTACATTCTGTGCACCTTTTCCACGTTCATGCTGGTGGCTCAGTCAGGAAAGTTGTGCACGCTGTTCTTTGCTGAAGCATTCATTGAAGTTGCTAAATAGATTGTCTTTGCTGATTAAAGGTTTGATTGTACTTTTAAATACTTGTTTCACCACAAAGTGATATCCAGTCTCTGTACTGCAGTGCTGCTTCGAAAATGGCTATTTAGGCTCTTGCCATGCAGTTGTAGTGTGCATTCGTCTGGACCAAGAAACCTGAGATCAAGTTCCACCTGCTCCAGAGGTCATAATGATGAGGTTGATTGGAAAATACATAAAATTGAAGTTGGTAGCATTTGGGAAGAGGCTTGTCGCTAAAGCTCATGGTCCATTTCAACAGTCACCTTGCCCTAGTTCTTGCTAGGTCAAGGGAGATCAAATTCCTCTATAAATTCACAAGTCCCTCAATAGCACGTTTCCGCTTCTGTCTGTGACTCTGAGTCTGGGAGCACCGACCTAGGAACTTCAGCACTCCAAGATGGTGATAACTTTCAGGAAAAAAGGCATCATCCTCAGTTTTTTTTTCTAATTCCCACTTGGCACGTAACTTTCACTGGCTGGGCCAGTATTTATTGCTCATTAACTAGTTGCTCTTGAGAAAGTTTGTAAAGCGCTGTTTAAGAGTCTTAGTGAGTCACTGTTATACAGTCTGCTAAATGATATGAAGATTTCTCGATCTCATGACCCATTCATGTCCTCTTGTCACTAGGACACTTTGACAGCAACATTGCCACTGTCAAAACCCAGAAGCTGAAAAGAAATGTAATTAAATTAATTGGAAGTTTAACTTAAAAAAAACTTCATGAAAAATAACCTGCAATCAATTATATGAACTGCAATTATTGAATGCCTTGAAATATATATCACTCCATCAAAGTAATGTACTGTTGGCATTTTAATAATTGTGCATTAAATGTTAAATAAGGAATCAAATATAATTGAAAATGTTAAATGGCATGTTGGCAGAACACATGTAAAACTTTAAATGCATGGCTGGTAGCACTTCATGAGCAAATGAGTACATGTGAGCTGTTTATCAAAGATGGAAATGAAGTTATCATTCTGGAACTTAGATTTAATGTGGTATTAGTTGTTTGTTGTATCATTACTATGTCTTTGTTACTTTATAGCATTATTATTTTGTCACTATTATATATTCTATGCTGTAATTATCATTATAGATATTGTTGTAATTATATTGCTTTCTGTAGCAGAAAGCTTCATGATAACTAACATTCAGATGCAAAATTAAGAGATTTCTGACTGTCTATGGTTGAACTTGTGGATTGTGCTCCATTTTCCTAGTTGCTCATTTTTAAATATAGCAACAATGCCATGGAATCTTAAATGTCCCCATGAACGACTAGGACAGGCTAACAGTGCTCGGGTTTAGTATCATTTCCTACGGAGGTAATTTCTGACAATGCAATGCAGTTATTCAAAGGATTGCAGGACCTGCTGAGTTTCTCCAGCACTTTCTGTTTCTAGATCAGATTTCCAGCATTCTCAGTATTTTGATTTTATTTTATTTGAAAGAGTTCGACTGATCCTGGCAACCAGCAATGTTGAAGGGGGATTGAAATTTTGATGCCTATTCTTTCAACTGTGACCATAAAAGCATTTTTTTGTTAGTTGCTGCAACTCACAGATAGAGTCATAAAGTTGTACAGCACAGAAACAGACCTGTCGATCCAATTCATCCATGCTGACCATATACCATAAATTAATCTAGTTCCATTTGCCAGCATTTGGCCAATATCCCTCAAAACACACCCTATTCATATACCCATCCAGATGCATTTTAAATGTTGTAATTGTACCAGTCTCCACCCCCACCTCTGACAGCTCATTCCATACACACACCACTCTTTGCGTAAAAACGTTGCTCCTTAGGTCCCTTTTAAATCCTTCTCCTCTCACCTTAAACCTATGCCCTCTATTTTTTGACTCCCACACCCCACGGAAAAGATATTGTCTATTTACCCTATCCATGCCCATCATGATTTTATAAGCCTCTGTAAGGTCACCCCTCAGCCTTCGACACACCAGGGAAAATAACCCCAGCCAATTCAGCCTCTTCCTATAGGTCCTATGGCAACATCCTTGCAAATCTTTTCTAAACACTTTCAAGTTTCACAATATCCTTCCTATAGCAAGGAGATCAGAATTGCACACAGTATTCCAAAAGTGGCCTAACCAATGTCCTGTACAGCCGCAACATGACCTCCCAACTCCCATAAGCAATGCACTGCACTACCAAATGCCTTCTTCACTGTTCAGCCTCTTCCTACAGGTCCTATGGCAACATCCTTGCAAATCTTTTGTAAACACTTTCAAGTTTCACAATATCCTTCCTATAGCAGGGAGATCAGAATTGCACACAGTATTCCAAAAGTGGCCTAACCAATGTCCTGTACAGCCACAACATGACCTCCTAACTCCCATACGCAATGCATTGCACTACCAAACGCCTTCTTCACTATCCTATCTATTTGTGACTCCACTTTCAAAGAACTATGAACCTACAGTCCAAGGTCTCCTAGTTCAGCAACTCTCCCCAGAACCTTGCCATTAGTGTATAAGTCCTGCCCTGATTTGACTTACCAAAATGCAGCATTTCACATATATCTGAATTAAACTCCATCTGCCAATCTGCGGCTCATTGGCCCATTTGATCAAGATCCTGTTGTACTCTGAGGTAACCTTCTTCACTGTCCACTACACCTCCAATTTTGGTGTCATCTTCAAACTTACTAACCATACCTCCTATGTTCACATCCAAATTATTTATATAAATGACAAAAAGCAGTGGACCCAGCATCAATCCTTGTGGCTCACTCCTGGTCATAGGCCTCTAGTCTGAAAAGTAACCCTCTACCATCACCCTCTGTTTTCAACCTTCGATCCAGTTCTGTATCCAAATGGCTAGTTCTCTCCAGAGTTCATGTGATGTAATGTTACTAACTAGTCTACCATGAGTAACCTAGTTGAATGCCTTACTGAAGCCCATATAGATCACATCCGCTGCTCTGCTCTCATCAATCCTCTTTGTTACTTCTTCAAAAAACTCAATCAAGTTAGTGAGACATGACTTCCAGTGCACACAGCCATGTTGACTATCCCTAATCAGTCCTTGCCTTTTCTTAGATCAATCTTGAGATCATTTTCCCACTTTTTCCTGTTGAGTCAATGGTAAATGCAATCTCCTTTTCATTGTTTTAAGAAGAGTTTGGCAAGAATAAGAAATAAAAACAGCAAGTGTTGCAGAAACTCAGCAAGTCTGGTAATCTGTGGATAGAGAAAATGAGTTAACGTTTCAAATCTTGTTATGATTTTGATGTAAGAAGCTTGATTTGCAATTCTTGACTAATCAGAAAAACTATGAGAGATTTATTTTTTTAAAACGTTTTCAAAGCATTTGTTAATTTGGAACTGTTTTTTCTTATTGGTTTTGTGACATACTTTATAACTCTTTGGACTTGAGGTTTGGAAAGTTGATGTTTCAGAGATAAGTTGCTGGGATGGTGAATCGGAAATGAAGACAAAGCAGATATTGAACAGGTCTGAGACATGCTGGTATTAATGGTTGGGGGAAAACATGAAGTTTGTTGTTAGAGGAGGTATTAAAAAAAATCCAGTGTTACTTTCTTACACAAGGCCAGTGGGTTAGGGTGAGGTAGGATATGTATAGTGAAGACAATGAGGAAGTAGTCAGTGATTATCTTAATATTCCTTGAACCTCAAATCAAGGAGATGGCCGTGAGCACTTATTCTGAAAAACTTTGCTCGATCAGGACAGACAGATGAGAAAATGGAAGGGAGGGTATCAAAGGAATTTAGGGTATTGGTTCAAATTACCTGTAGCATGAAACAAGAGAAGAGGAATGCCAATTTCTACTGAATTTCATATCCACCCAAGCCTCAGGTTTTGGATAGGCTGTCTAGGAGAGATAAAGTATTTCCCAGATGAAACCTACTTATGAATTCAACAAATCTGTGCAGAAGCAAATTACTGCAGATGCTGGAATCTGTACTGAAAATAAAAAATGCTGGAGATCTCAGCGGGTCAGGCAGTATCCTTAGAGAGACAGCAAGCTAACGTTTCGAGTCTAGAAGAGTCATCCAGACTCGAAACGTTAGCTTGCTTTCTCTCCATGGACACTGTCTGACCCACTGTCATCTCCAGCTTTTTTTTGTTTTCAGTGCAAATTCTGTCTTGACTCCTAAAAAGCAATGTTTAGAAAATGATGTGAAAAAAAAAA